TGCCCTTCAGCTTTTCAGATGGAAGCTCCCAAGCCTATTGGAGCCCAGTTGCACTCAGGTTTGTACAGCTAAATTGAAACTCTGGAAATATTGGTGGGCTCCCTAGTAATTCCCATAGATGTGTATATCTTTGGGGTTTATCGGGAGGAAGAATTCAACCAGGCATCCCTTCCAACTCATGTTCTTAAGGCTCATCTGGTGAGGTCAGAGCCTTAAAGGCCAGAAGATATATACACTATGGAATAGTGAGGAAACCATGTGAATTAGAATCCTACTCTAATTACCACCTGTGTGACCATGGGCAAGCTAGAATTCTTCTCTGGGTCTTGGTTTCACCATCCTCATCCTCATTTTCATCTGTACTCATACAGTGCTTTAAGGTTTGCAAAGTACTTTCTAAATATTGTCTCATTTAATTCTTACTATTATTATCCCCATTTTACAGGTGGGGAAACTAACTTTTTTTTAGTATTAGAAAATTTTCCATTTAAAATTTTCTTGCCCTGTAGGATTTAGCTGGGAAATATTCAATTATTTCTGAGTGACCTCCCTCAAATTTGAATTTTTATTTTGGTTACAAGGGTAGTTTTATATGCATAGAACCCTCCCCTCCCCTTATCCTCTTACCTATCCCCTTTCTCCTGAGCGGTTTAGATGTGCTAACACAATTTCTTGCCCATAGTAGGCTCTAGTCAAGTGGAAATGAATCCAATCTGGTCTCTCTGATCTTAACCTAGATTAAGCATGGATTAGATTTAGCTTCTTATATCTCTTGAATCTTCTGCTACTTTAATGAGTTTCCATTTCTAGGTGACCTTCTGGTTTTACAAAAACATTTGCTATGCAATATCTTGTGAGGGAGACAGGGTGAATGTTTTCATCTCCATTTAATGGATAAATACATGGAAGCTCAGGGAGACCAAGTGACTCACCTATGGTCACACAGCTAGTGTCAAGGGATTCAAGCCAGGCATCCAAGCAGTTGGCCCCATACTCTTTCTCCTATATCACGTGACTTCTAGTAATCTGCATGAGCTTCTTTTAGAGGAAGTCTAATTGGAGGGGATCATGATTTGTGGTCATTTGGGTCCTTTTCTCCTAACAATTGAATTTGGCTTTGGCATGCATGACTCAGTGCCACAGATCCCCACTTCAGTTTCTATGAACCTGATGAAGTGTCCTGCTGGCAGCACAGGACGTGCATCCGCCTTTTCTTTAGACCATTAGGAGCAGTGGCATCATTTCCTGAAGTGATAACCATAGTCTTCTTGGCTGCAAGAAGTTTAAAGATCACTCCATCCAATTCCCTCATTTATAAGGGAAGAGACTGAACCCACCCCCAGGGGATGAGGTACTTGTCTAAGGTCACACAGACAAGTATCAGAGGGTGAGAACCCTCAAAGCCTCAGAAGTTAAATCCAATGCTCTTTCAATCAAACTATTCTCTCTCTCTCTCTCTCTCTCTCTCTCTCTCTCTCTCTCTCTCTCTCTCTCTCTCTCTCTCTCTCTCTCTCTCTCTCTCCCTCCTCCCCTCCTTTTTCTCCTCTCTCACTCTCTCTAATTCAGTAATGCCTGGCTCCCTCTTTGAGGAGGTTCTAGACTTCTAATCATAACTAAACAAAGTTGAGAACTATGAATAATGTAAGGTAGGTGTTAGACAATGAAAAAAACAGGATAAGAAAATCAGGGGAAAAGAAAACATATGTCATCAAAGGGCACTTCCAGATATTTAGATGAGGTTGTCCAAGGTACTGGTCTCCTGGCCTGGTGTTGTAGTGTCTAAATTCAACCCCATATTTGCGATGAGTCTCACTTTATTACAGAAGCTGACTCAGGGACAATGAAATAAATCAACACTTCCTGATGGCCTCGTAATTGGGATAATCACTTCTTTAGTTTATCAGTACCTCTAGGCCTTCAAATGTGCATTCTTCAAACACTTTCCATTACAGATACATTCTTTCTCCTGAACAATAAATTACTCTTTTAAAAAAAGAAAAAAATATATATGGAAATAAAAGGATACATTACAATTTAAAAGAAAAGATAAAACAATGAAACACATTTTTGACATTCATCTCACAAATCATAGGAAAATGACTCTCTCTAGATGCTAGATTATTGAATATAAATATTAAAGGTCAGGATTATTTACAATGTGACAGGAAATTGAGAGAGTACAAACAGACTTTAACTCAGGAGGCTAGTGAATGATTGAAGGAAACGTCTCAGTAATGTACAATATGTATTTACAAAAGAATATAGACTAGGCATTGTGATATGTGCCCATTGTAGTTTGTCTGCATTTTGCCGCAGCATTCCAAAGGTCTTTGCACAAGGGAAATCCATGTGGCTGCTGGAACCCCACTGGTACCCAGGGGCTAAAACCAGATTTTGCTTCTGTCACCTCTTGACCACAGGCCACAAGGGGAAATGATGTCCCTGAGCAGGCCCTCTTGGGCATGCTCCACATAGTAGGGAGGAAGACGAGAAAGAGATGCCATTCCATTTATGGGGAACACATTCACACACAGCCCTGGCAAAGCTGGCCATTAGGTTGAGAAAGCACATAGCAATGCTTTTTAACAAACCACATCTGGGAGCAGGAGCAAGGGACATAAAATGGGAGTCTAACTGAAAGGGGGTTTTGCATATACCACATTCCATTGCATACCCATGTGGTCTACTGTGTGCAGAGCATACAGTAGATGTGTAATAAGTGTTTTTATTGATTGATCAATCCCTGATGGGATTGGTACAGTTACAATAAATTCCCAAGGAGCAAGTTTTATTGAGGTCCCATGCAAATGGCATTGACACAGAGTATGGGGATAGGTGATGCAAGCCAGAGATGCTGGTCCTTTCTCCCCTTGCAGATGGTTGCTGCACTGAGTTTGTCGTAAGAGAAAAGAAAGAGTAAAACAGCAACTGAGCATCACAGGGCCACCCTGATGACCCTGGGGGTGACCTCCATGCTTGCAGCAGGATCAATCACCTTGCCCTTTTCAAGAGATTGTCTGTAATCCTGGTGACAGAAGACATCAATTAGCCATGGACTTAATAGGCCACTTCAGGTTAGGATGCTGATATTTCACTGTCTTCATATTCTAGGCAGTTTGGCAATTTGGGAGCCCTGATGTTATCCTCGGAAGGAGAACTAAATGGACTTTAGCCTGGGTTTACTGGCTGGTATATCCAGGGCACAAGCATTAGTATGATCACAATGATCTAGGGCTCTGATGCAGCCTATTAAGGTCTAAGGTAGTATTAGGAAATCCATCACCGGAATGGGCAGAACGTTTGCCAGATCCTGCCAAGGCATCACTGAAGGAGTTAGGGGTGGTAATCTTTAGGGTTCACCTTTTTTTTTTCTATCAAAATCTTTCATCTTTTCAAGGTCCAATGACCTCAGTGCAGCTGAATCGGTATGTCCAAGAAAACATGATGATGGGCAAACCAACAGAGATGCTGTTGAGCAAAGAGAAAGTGGGATGCAGAAAGCAAAGGAGAGAAGATTCTAGCAGTTGGGGCTGATTTTAAGACCCGGCTGTCTGCCATCTCCTTAGCTTGGCAAAAGCTCCACAATACCTTAATGACATGGTAAGTTGCTACCTGAGCTGCTTTTCTGGGTAATTCTGTGCTCAGCCTTCTTTCCCCACCCAAAATATACAACCAAAGCACTTATATTTTCTTTCTTTCCATCTCAGCCCCTTGTGTCACTCTGTATTTGTTTTATTGGTTTGGGTGAGTACACAAATCTAATTCACCTCCAAATAAAAATCTCATCATGTATATTTCCTGACCATAGCAGTTGACTCTTCTCCTGGGGGTCCTTGCTGGCTTTAGGCTGAAGTTTTCTCCACAATACTCGGAAGCCACTAACAATTTCCCTGATGTGGCCCTACTCTAAGTAAGGCTCCCTTTAAATGCAGAGGGGATCTGTGAGCTTGGATTAGCCCCAAAAGGTGTAGAACAAGGCACATGGATATTTGTGATCCCACTTGTCTCCCTGAAATGAACATTTATTCAGAATAATACCTACAGCCATTCTTTTGTTGACACCCCAGGAGCTCATGCGAAACTGAGCCCCATCTGAGGGTCTGCTTTATGCCAAGGGTATGAGGAATGAAGAAACTAGATGGAGGTGGTAAGAGGAATTCATGGTCTATATGCAAAGGACCTAGGGTCTAGCTGGGGGCTTATATTGAAAGGTGCTGCATTCTCAACACCAGAACAACTTCAGTGATAAGCCACCACCTGTGCAAATGTTACATGCACATTTGCAGATTCTTGACAAAAATCAACATGCATAATTGGGGGCTGGCTCAATCCAATGTTTGTTAGAGAAAATGAGGGGGGGGTAATGACAAGAGAGCTAGCAGCAAAATTGTTTACCATTTCATTCAAATTATGCTTTTTCTTAGCTTAGCATCACTCCTTCTCTTGTATTTTCTATAAATACATCTTAACCTCTTGAGCAAGGGAATATCCTCAAATATGTCGCCACATAGGTCATATTTCATCACTTCATCCTCCATATCACTTAGACATCATGCTAGAACCTATTATTTGTTTAGGACTTTCTATTCTTTAGTGCCTCCCCTTTAAGCTGAGAAGCTATCACCAATCCTCAATTCCAGGTCAAAAATGATTGTACTTTCATTGTTTAGGGTTTGGTTTTGGACTGAGTGCTACTTCATTCCCCCAGAAACTGAGAGCAAGTGTAAGCAAGCATTCTTATCAAGAGTTGAGTTCATTTTAATGACAAGAGCCATTGCTTTCTGTGGGAAGGAAGGAAGATGGCAGGCAGGCAGGAAACAAGGAAGGGAGGAAGGGAGGAAGAAGGAAGGAAGGAAGGAAGGAAGGAAGGAAGGAAGGAAGGAAGGAAGGAAGGAAGGAAGGAAGGAAGGAAGGAAGGAAGGAAAAAAGGAAGGAAGGAAAAAAGGAAGGAAGGGAAGGAAGGAAGGAAGGGAAGGAAGGAAGGAAGGAAGGAAGGAAGGAAGGAAGGAAGGAAGGAAGGAAGGAAGGAAGGAAGGAAGGAAGGAAGGAAGGAAGGAAGGAAAGAAGGGATAGGTCTCAGTAAGAATAACTTTCCTTCTAAATAATAATAACGTTCATTTGTTAATGTTTTAAATTATAAGATTCTTTCCTGCCTTTGAATGTGACTTGATGCAGTTTTCTCCTATAATTCTTAGTAGCATGCTGCTGGACCTACTATTATTTCCATGCTCAATGAAACAAGCCTTTGGTCAACAAAGTAGACATAACTCATTGTAAAGTCTGATAGCAAAGAAAACTTCCTACCAAAGGAGGATGGTACCTAGACTGGTGAACCAACATAAGTCTTACTCACTTGGGCTCTGACTATAAGCCAAGGGAGGAACAGTGATAAGTCTTACGGATCCTACATCCATTCAACATGATGATATAATGTACAAGAAGCCAGGAAAACTGACCATGGGAAATTTTGCAGAAATACTGTGGAACAGCAATCACTGTAACTGGACAAACTTGCTCTCAACATAACAACAGAACATAAAGGCACCATTGATATCTTTCTCATTTTTAAATACTGTAAAAAATTGCTACATATGGCACATAACACATTTTTACATACATAGATTTAATTTATAAAAGTTTTTCCTGTTTTCTATTTGCAGAACTGCTAAAATAAAATAAATTGTTTAATTTAGGGTGGAATACTTCGTTATATAAAATAAAGTTTTATACGTGACTCTATGTGTTTATTTCGGTTTTATACAGCGATAGGGTCTTGATTAGCCATTACACTGGACAGCCTGGCCTGGAATTCCTCCGGAGTGGAATAGCGGCTGGTTGGGTTAGTCCTACTGTCAGCCAGGCGGAAGGCAGGGGCTGACTCTAAGCCAGCGGCCAGCGGCGTCTGTATACTCAGGAAAGGGGTATTTTCGCCTATTCTTTCGTCTTCTGTTTCACTTTCCGAGTTACTGCTCTCAGAGCTTGTGTCGCTGTCCAACCTGTTAGAAATATGGCCATCGGGCTTTGTTCTTTTTGTCCGCCGGCTGTTGACGGGTTTCTTTGTGGGCTCTTGCGCTGGCTCATACTCCTGGGTGGTCTCATACTCCTGGGTAGTCTCATACTCCTCATCCTCCACGATCCTTAAAGGGCTAGGGGGGAGGCTATTGCTCTCATGGACCGGGTTGTGGTGAAAAGAGTTGAATTGTTGGGGGTGGTGATCATATTTCTTCTCGCGAAAGCGCGGAGGTGTCACCAGGAGCAGAGGTCGCTCTTCTTCCACAAAGGGGCTGACTGCCACAGACGGCATGGACACTGTCAAGCTTGATATGGGTGGAGAAATTTCAGAAGGAGGTGTCTTAGGGGAGCTTGGCATGTAGAATTCTACGGGTGACATGCGAGCCGGGGTAGTCATTGCTGATACATATCTGTAAGAGCACACACACACAAAAGTCCAATAAATACACAGGGAATACGTGCAGACAGAAGGGTTTGGGGGAAACTTGGGAAATGGGGCTTTTGAACATTAGCTACTTAGCCTGAGGAGCAATTCTATTGCAGTTTTTCAAACATCAGGATTACAGGTGTGGTGCCCCTGGGGTACGTCATTAGATAGAGTGGAGGCTATTCTCCCCATTTACAAGGAATGAATTCTACACTCAAATCCACTTCTATTTACTTATCTGGATACACAATGTATCCCCCAATGCCTCTGTCTCCCTAGCATTTAGCATAGATTTGTACATAATCCAGTGCTTAATAAATGGTTATCGAGTTCAATTACAGTCAAAGTAAATGGGTCTAAACACTCAGCAAAATCTTTCAAATTTTATATTGAAACAATTTTAAATTGGGAAAGGAGACGTTTTTTCCAATGGGCGTGGTCTCAGTATGCCATTCTGAGAGACAAGCCTTATAAGGAACTAGAGAAGAAGCTATAGGATGAGTTCCTGAGAATTAGGTCTACTGACATTTGGATCAGTGTGTCTCATGTCTACTCATTTCAGCTATGAAGTTCTGCCTTCCGGCAAAGGCTTGTATCAAATGAGACGATTTGTAAAGTGCTTTGCAAAAAACTTAAAGTACCATATAAATGCTAGTTATCATTAGGCATTATTGTTAAATGCCTTGTACAAAAAGAAGGACAACATAGTCCAGCTTCAACAAGGGGAAGTTTGTAGGCCACTCTGATATGATCATAGATTGAAAGTTGGAAAAGACCTTAGAAGCGAGCAGGTCCAAACTACTCCTTTTACAAGTGAGGATATTTGGGTGCATAGAGGTGAACTAGGCTCCCCCAAACAGGAAGCGGCTGAGGTAGGATATCTATTTCAACTCTATTCTGCATTACAGCTCCACATATTTGCACTTGAGGCAAGATGATACAATTGTGCCCTTCCTTGGGAGAGTCTTGGAATAGTAGATGCAAATTTTCTTTTCCTGTCAGTTTTGTGTATTTAAAGAGAACTCCTCTCCTCTCTCACCCTTGTTATAGCTCTGTCCAAGGCAGGGAGAATTCCACTGGTTTTTCCTATTGCATTGATTGAGGTTAAACCTATCCATCATCTATTGCCAAATGGTGACCACATGGTGCAAAGGGAGTTTTTCTTTCATTCCCACATCGAAGAGGATCTTTGTAGCTTGCACTAGAAGACTTGAGCTCAGTCATTAGAAAGGGTAATCAAAGATCATTGGGGAATGTCTTAGCTGTTCACCTGAGCCTTCATACCAATGTCTGTGGGGAAGCCTGCAAAACCAAAAGGTGTGATCACATGTAGACAGAAGAAAGAGTCCTGGTTCCTTCCTACATGGCATATGTTAATTCAGATGGAGGCTGATATGAGACTGAATGGCAGTATCTAAGCTCAGAACATGGGCCATCAAGTGAAGTACTTAAAAACTAAAGCTGCAGATTTCTGACCTTTTAGGATAGTAACATGGAAATCCATTATATGGAAGCTACTCCAAACTCTGCCTGTCTTTAAAACAACTTTAGGTCACTAGCAAAGTTCTGGTTGAAAACACATCCTGATAAATAACATGAGAAGCCATGCTAGTTACGTAACCAGTATAAGGGAAAGACTTCATTTAGACAAGAAGTATGACATCATGTGAGTGGGGGGTGGTAGCAAAAAAGAGGAGCATGTGTTCAATGTAGATCCAAGGACCCTGAGCCCAGGAAATAGGAAGGGCAGTGAGAAGAATGAACATGTTACTGCAACTATTAGCCTCCATGTTGGGAGGGGGGATCATTTGAAGGAATGGCTCAGTGAAAGGTATTTCTGAAACTGCTACCTTGAAAATGAGATCAGAAAGGATAGAGAGTAGATCACTTTGGGGAAAGTTAGAGCCCACAAAAGGGTAGAACATGGAAGCTCTGAGGTCAGTGGCTAGCATTAGATAAAAATTATCCTTTCAGCCATGATAAGCATTTGAGAAAATCTGTAGCTCTGTTGAAGGTAAAAGCTCATCTTGGGGAAAAGACCAGAAACCAATGTAGGAAAAATAAATATCTTGTGGGTTCAATCTGGTCTGAAGACCCAGAACAAGCAAATATATGTAGTAGAGGTAGCTGGGTGTGGTAGATAGAGTGCTAAATGTGGAGGCAGGAAGACCTGAGTTCAAAGCTTGCCTCTGATACTTGATAGCTGTGTAACTCTGGGCAAGTCACTTAACCTCTATCTGCCTCAGTCTCCTCATCTACAAAATGGGGATAATATTGGCCCCTGTCTCCCAGGGTTTTTGTGAGGATAAAATGAGAAATTTGTAAAGTGTTTTGCAAACCTCATAACGTTATATGAATTGTTATTGGCATTATTATTGGACCAAATGCTGAAGCTTCTGTATAGATAAGAGGTAGGCAGTGCCATTGTCTAATAAGGATAAATATGGATGACTTTGGACTAAGTCAACATCCCAGCTTCTCTAATGCTTGGAAAACCTTGGGGATTAGCTTGAGAAGACACAATTGTCTCTGATTACATTAAGTTTTATGGGCAAAAGATGACATTGTAAGCTGGGTATGAAAAGCTCCCCCTGCCCTAGTCATGGAGGAAAAGGGCTAGTGAAAGCTACAAGACTTGGCCAAATTGAGTAACAAACAACAGATGACTTCACATCTTCATGGAGTCTTTCTTCCTTCCATTCTGTCTCCTTTTGTGGCTCACAGTCAACTTCCTAAGCTCTAAGCTGCTGGAACCCAAGTGTTCCCCAGGGGGAGGCTTGGTGGTCATGGTCATGGTGATAGAGATCCACACCTACACCAGTGTCTGTAAAGATAGCTGGGCCCATTGATTGAGCAACTAAGTGAAAATGGCACAGACATTCTTGGGAGATCTTCGTTATATGGTTGTGAGGCAAAGCATCTGCCGATGACCTGAGATCCTCTATGATGAAAGTTGGGGAAGCAAGAACATGCCTGCTCTGCACTTTGAGTCCGCCCCATGTAGAAAATCAGAGATGAGAAGATTCCACATGTTTTGGGGGATGAGTGGGGATGAATAAATTGTCTTGGGAACCATGAGAGAGGAAACAGGGAAGTCTGGGGCCAAAGGAGTAGACGCAGTTTTCAGGATGGAAAGGAACCAATCTGGCTCAGTTCTCAAGGCTCCCTACTTTTAGGTAAGAGCTTGCTTTTGTGGGTTGGTAAAGCAGGAGAGGTTAGGGCCTGAGCACTGTTTCTAGAGGAACTCTCCTCTGAACCAAGAAGTCTCCCAGGGATATGTCTCTGTGCCACAAGGAAGAGCCAAGTGGCTCCAAATGAAGAGTTCCCTCAGCTGACTTGATATTCATGGAAGTCATGAGTATATTGGGACATCATTTGGGAATGGTGGCCTGGGGCATGAATCTTCTTGTTCACTCCTAGAGAGATTAGGAGTAGTTAGTTGGGTCTGGGCCCCTTGAAATGCATCCCCAAACTCTTGAGCTCAGTACAGGTCCATAGATAGGTTGTGAGGTCTAGGCAAAGCTGGAGCCATGCTGCTCTATAGTAGTTGCTGGGATGTTTTTTTTAAATTATTCTCCTCATATTTACTCTGTGAGCAAAGCTGTATGTGATTACTAAACAGAAAGATGAATGAATTCTATGAATGGCCACTGGTCTGGTCCATTGTCAAGGGAACACTTGTTTCAGTATACATTGGGCTAGATGGGCTCTCACATCCCTTCCTACTGAGAGGTTCTTTGATCCTCTGACCTGGCTTTAATTCTAGTTCTGCCAATTCTTAGACCTTGGACAAGTTACTTTTCACTGGACATCACTCTTCCCATCTGTCAAGTGAGACAGTTGGACCAGATAATCTCTAAGGCTCCTCCTCCCCCTATATTCTTTTCCCCTGTGCTCAGACTCCTAAGGTAAGAAGTATATGGAAGCAGAGGAAATAGCCTTATCTAACAGGGGGCCAGCATGCACCTCCTGGCTCATTACTGCTACCCAGGAAGTGCCCTTCAATGAGACAGTGGGTTCTTACTGTGATTCTCTTACGGGGGTTCTCCTTTGCAGGTATCTTTGCCCTTCTGTTTTACCTTTCACTGTGAGGAGAGTCTCGGTAGGAATCAGGGGTCTCTCGGGCATGCCTGAGGAAGCTGTTACAATCTCGGGGACCTCCCATGCCATTAAGACGTCCTCTAGGCCCCCCAGCTGGGCTGGTGTGCCTACTGTTTTCTATGGATGAAATCACGAGCACAGAGTGGCTTTCAGAGACAATGCTTTCTGTGTGCCCATTACTCCAGCTATGGGAAAAAAAAAAAGAACAAATGGTGAGAAAAGGGAAAAAAGACTTTCAAATGATAGACAAAAAAAATGGAGTGAAATTGTATAATACTTCTTTCAAAAGTCCAACACCCTTGATTCTATTGCTCATGTTCTACTCTCAAGTGGAATTCAGAATGAGGTGGGTTTGCCTTCCCTGAACAACACTAGGTGGTAAGACAGGAAGGTGAGTACCTAGATTCCAAAAAGGACTCTGTTCCTCAAATAACTGTATAACAAACAAACAAACAAACAAATAATAAATAATCACATTTATATGATACTTTTGTCACCCAAAACCTCCATTTTACGGATGAGGAAACCAAAGTTCTTAATGGCTAAGTAAGTAGATAGAGTAGGGCACCGGACTTCGATTCAGAAAGACTTGAGTTTGTCTTTCGTTTGTTTCCTTTTTCCCTTCTTCCTCTCTCTGATGCTTAGCATAGAGTGTCAGGGACATAATACTTAAGAAATGCAAGTTGACTGACTAATGACTGCTGTAGGCACTTACTAAGTATTCGACCTTGGGTAAGTAACAACTTCTCTGAGTCTTAGGGGGCTGGACTCCATGTCAAAGTTCCCTTCTAGCTCAAAATCAGTGGTCCTAAAATCTTATGAACTTTCCCCACCATGACACAGCTAATCTATATCTGTTGGAGTATTTGAATTCAATTCAGGCTTTAGGCTCAGCACTCTCTTTAAGATATCCTGCTGCCTCTCCATATCCTTTTAGAGCATGATTTTCCTTATCATACCACACAGTGGAGTGGGCATCCACATGGCACAATGAATGGAGTGCTAGACCTGGCATCAGGTGGGTTTGAGTTCAAATCTTCTCTCAGATACTTTCTATGTGACCTTGGGCAAGTCATTGACCTATTTGAGCCTCATTTTCCTGATCTCCAAAATGGGGATACCTAATACACTGTTGTTGTGAGGATCAAATGAGACAGCATTTTTGAACATGTTTTGCACTTTCATAAAAGCACTACATAAATGCTAGTGATTATTATTATTATTATTATTATTATTATTATTATTATTATTGGAGTATTGGTGGATACTCATAGAGTTTCTACTACTTCACCAGTAAAGTAATTTTGCCAAAATCATCAGCTAGAGGCATCACCAGGGGAATCCATTTGTACCTGGAGCCAGCTTCGAAGAGTAACCCCAAACTTGTAGAAAACTCTTCCCAAATCTCTTGGTGGGACAAAGCAGTAGTGCTTGCCTTTACATCTTCCAAAGCCCAAGGACAGCCTCAGGGGGAATATTCCATCTCTTGAGAGAGATCATATTCCCTTCATGCTTTAGGTGGCAGTTCTTCAGGAGGTCAAGAATTTTATGACCTGGTGTGCAACCTGGGACAATGATGAACTTCAGTGTCCTTTCTTAGTATAGACCTTGAATAATAGTAATGTTGTCTTGGAGTTTGCAGCATTGGACTTGAGGTCAGGTAGATCTGGGTTCAAATTATAGCATAAAACTATACAACTTGTAGGACCCTGAACAAATCACTTATTTGGGCTTCAGTTTCCTTATCTGTAAAATGACAGAATTGGGTTTGATGACTTCTAAGGTCCTTTTCAGCACTAAAATAATGAGCTTTGATCCTGTGAATCATAATCTTACAGCTAGAAAATGGTCTGTGAGAGCTTGGGTACTACTGTTGGTCCAGCCTTGAAGAACACAATGCAGTTGAAAAACCTGAATTAAAAAAAAATACCAAAATACATAACCAAGGCTAAGCAGTTCTCTGGCCCTGGGCCAATAATCAAGACCTCAGTCCTACCTAGTGACTCCATTAGTGCTGCTCTTTGACTCAGGAAGATCTGTATTCAAATCTTGCCTCCAAAACTTATTAGTTGTGTGACTCTAGGCAAGTGACATAAACTCTCTGAGCCTTAGTTTCTTCATCTCTAACATGGACACGATAATAGCACCTACCTTACAGAGTTGTGAAAATCAAATGATATAACATAGGTAAAGCACTTTGAAAACCTTAAAGTGCTATAGAAATGCCAGTAATAAGAACAACATCAATAGCAATAACAACAATGAAAACAACAACCAGAAGTACTCAGGTCTTGGGTCTTTCTGCAAGTTGAATTGTATATTAAAACATTTTTCTTCCAGCCCAGTGTCAAAGTATACAAGATCTTGGTCAGAAGTCTCGGGTCTATATCCAGGCTTTTATTTTCTCTAAAATAAGGAGGCATGACTACATGGTATTTTTCTAAGGTCTCTTTCTAGCTCTAAATCCTATAATTCTATGATTGGAGTAAGGCAACTATGTAAGGAAAAACAGTGTCAAACACCTATGTGGGTTTCAAGACCCTACTGTAAAGGGAGAATATTTTCCCTACAAATAGAAAAGGGTCAGACTCTTGTGGGAGTACATTTTTTCAGAGCCTGTTTATTTATTTATTTTTTTGTGAAGATAACAACCACAAAAAGGCTATCTAAGGCTCGGTCATTTTAGTGAATCTTTTACCTGTGGCTGGGTGTTTGGGTGGCAGCCATGGAGTGATGAGCTGGTGAGGTGCAATGACTAGCGGAGAATGATGTCTCTGTCTCTCGTTCAATGACATGCTCACTAGAGATGATGTTCTTGGATACGTACTGCTACAGAGACAAAGAAGAAACAAGTGGAAGTTTTGGGTATAGCCTTGGATTAGTGAAATTAAAAAAAGAAAAAACATTTTGAGTCTACACATTTCAGGAAACAACTTACAAATGCTGTTAAACTTTCAATTAGGAGATCAAGGTTTGAATCCTGCCTCTGACACTAACTAGTCATATGAAGTCATCCCTTGTTTCCCATTGCCACTGCTGTACTTTCTATCACTACCACTTAACCATCTGTCTTCCTTTGGGGTCACGCTTGCAAATTCACCACTCAGTCCAGATCCCGGTGGCTATTATTTAACAACATTCTCCTTCCTTTCTCAAAGAGTTCAGTGCCTGGCCTACTGCATTTCTCTCTACCTCATCTCATGGCCTAATACTAAGCACTTCAATATACATACCGATATTACCTGAAACCCCTTAATTTTCCAGTTCCTCAATCTACTCAGTTCCTGTGATGTACTCCTTAACTTAACCTCAGTCACAGAGATGGTGAAAATCATGATCTTGCCATCAACCAGAGATGTTCCACTTTCATATTCATGAACTCCAAAATTAATTAATCTTATTATAATCTAGTATCATGCCATATTTTCCCAAAGTGTATGATCCCTATTTCTGTACTTCACTTCACTGTGACTTCTATTTCTACCACCCCTTTGTTCTTTCACAGGACATCATCCCTACATGATTATACTCTCCTTCCTTCCCCATCTCCACCCCTTGGTGAACTGGTTCAACTCTACACTATCCTTCACTCTCAAAGACCTTATCATCTTGTCTCAATCCCAATCCCACCTTGACAACCCCCAACCTTTGATTTCTCTCAACATATACCTCTTTTGCTACTAAATTACTACTAAAATTCATGTGCTGGAGATATTTACTGAACCATGCTGAGTGGGTTGACTACAAATTTATGTTATACAACCTCAGCTGGGCCCTCACTACAACAAGGCAGTTGTTTTAAACCTGCCCAAATCCTACTCATCACAGTAGCTATTCTAAACCTTTTCAACCTTCTGCAGACTACTTGTAGCATAGTATTCTTTATATCATCCCAATCTCACAAATCTAAGAACTGAGGATTAGAGAATTCACATCCAATGTCACATTCTGCTAACATGTTGAGGTTTTGTCCAGTCCCTTAACTCAAATTCTTGGCTATTTCCACTATCTTACTGCTTCTCTACTTCTTTATTCTCCCATGAAATTCAGCTCCTAAGGTCATCATTAGATGAGCTAGGCAGCTGGGTGGCACAGTGGATAAAGTTATTATTATTATTATTAGTAGTAGTAGTTCACATTTTATATAGTGCTTTAAGGTTTGCAAAGCACTTTACAAATATTGCCTCATTTTATCCCTACAACAAGCCTGGGAGACAGGTATTAGATAGGTATTACCTCTATTTTACAGATAAGGGAACTGAGGGAGACAGAGGCTTGACTAGGTTTACATAGTAAGTATCTGTCAGTATTCGAACTCATTTCTTCCTTATTCTAAGTCCAATGCTCTAACCACTCTGCCACCTAGCTTACTAGATTCCAAGTGCTGGATTACAGTCCGTAAGATTTGAGATTTTCCTTTTTGGGTTTTTGTATTGTTACTTTTGAGTAAAACAGTTATATGGTGATTTAAGGCTTATAAAACATTTCATATGCGATCTTATTTGATCCTCACAACAACCCTACGAAGTGTGCCCTATTAGTATGCCCATTTTACAGAGGCTCAGAGAAATTCAACAGCTTTCTTAGGGTCACCCAGCTAGTAAGTGTCTGAGGCAGGAGTCAGACCTAGGTCTTCCTGTCTTCAAGACCAATGCTCTTAGCCACTGTGCCACTCAGCTCATAAGGATTCTGTCAGCATGGGATCTCAAAGTGTGGTTAGTTCTTCCACCACTGCCCTGAAGTCTACAACCTATTAGATTCATATCCTGGGAAGGCTATTGCCGGAAGCACATAGAGATTAAGTAAGGTGCCTAGAACCATACTGTCAGTAAATGTCAGAAGTGGGATCTGAACCCAGGTCTTCCAGATTCCCTAACTCCACAGCATGCTATCCTCATGGCCAAGGGCCACTATGGTCATGGTTCTTTTCCTTTACCATCATTTTCCAGATGAAATAAGAAGGCAAGATGCTCATGCACTCTTTGATAGAGGAACACAAATCTTGACATTATTATCCAACCAGTTAATGAATCAAGCTGGAAGAGGAAATATGTTTGTGTTATCATAAACCAAAAGCACTTGAAAAATGTTCCTGTTATTTCCTCCTGGAGAAATTCCCTATTCCTGGAAGCTCTCATGCATAGTAGTCAGCTGAGAGCATAAACCCTGCACAGAATGAACTCAAGGCTTAGCCCAGTTGGGCAGCATCCCTCACGACTCATTCTCGGAGCTCAGGCGACCTACATTGACCAGCTGCACATTCTCTGGAGGCGGGTTGGGGTGGTGAGGCCCATTGGCCATGTTCACCATATTGTTGCGTTCCGAACGAAGGCTCTGCCGCAGCCGGTCATGAAGCTTTTTTCGCTGCTTCCTGCACATGAAAGACAGAATTGGGTTTTAGTCAAAGGAGGAAGACAGGTCACTTCTCGGCACAGTCAAAACACTCTTCTCCCTGGTAAGTTAGCAGGGTCTTTTGTCTATCAAATGATGGGCCTAGAAGCCTGAGAAGGTGGAAGTCTTCCCAAATCCTTGGAGACTAATGAGCATCCTTGAGTAACTCACATAGCCTTGCTCACTAGGCCCTGATCAATGGTATTGTGTTCATTGGTACTGATAAGAGAGACAAGGCAGAGTGAAATGGAAGGAATATTGGTAAAGGTCATGAGTTTGAATGCTAAGTCTGACACTTAGTACCTGTGTGTCCTAGGTCAAGTTACTTCCCTTCATGATCCCTTAGTTTATGCATCTGTATAATGGGAGGGTTTCTCCAGATGATCTCTAAGGACTCTTCCAGCTGTAAGTCTCATGAGGTTATGCCAAGATGGGAAGATGGGCAGAACTGCCACTGCTCTTACAAGGTATGCTTTATCACAGACAAGGCAAAATTGGCAAAGAATTTCTAAGGACAAATCAATCTAACGAGAATTATTGTTTCACATCACATAATCTCAGAGAATTTCCGAGCAGAAGAGGCCTCAAATGCCATCTACACTAACTTGTACACCAAAAAGAATCCCCTCTGCAACTCATGGGTAGGGATAAGATTGATATCGTATTTGGCAAACTTCAAAGAGAGCTTTCATTTCCTTTACTGTGCCTTATAAGTTACATGAACTCAGGCAAATCATTTAACTTCTGTGAGACTGTTTCCTTATCTGTAAAATGATGGGGGGTTATACCAGATGACCTCTTAGAATCTCTTCCATTTCTAAATCTGATTCTCTGATCCCTCCATAAGGACTCTGTTTTCTACCTCTAATGCAGTGATGGTTTTAATGCTGGTGTCTCTATTAATGTTTTAGCCCTTTGTTAGATTGTGAGTGTCTTGAGGGCAGGATCTTATCTAAAAGGCCTATTCCCCACCCCTCCCCCCTCCCCACCTAGCAAGGTGCTCTGCACATAGGATAGACTTGTTAATTGTCATTTTTTTCCCCATGGCACTATCAAAACCTTCCTTTGAGTGCCACTCATTTGCTCAGTGGCCCTAAGAGGCCTGACTGATATAGGCCTCAGTTTCCTCCTCTATAAAGGAGGAAGCTTGATCATATCTATCTGGGACTGAATCTGTCATGATTCTGAAGTATTCAGGATGCATGTTGCTAAGAAATTATATAATGTCATATCACATACTTAATCCTAGCATCATACAAATGCATTAGGAATGTCGTCCTGAGAACAGAGGGGAGGCTACGCTCTACCCATGACATTATGATGCAAAAAGTGGATTTTTCATTCCTCAAAGTCATCTGTATCTGACTCAAGGATATTTTTCTTTCCAACAGTTGGCTTGACATCACTGAGGAAATCATTGCTGGGATAGAAAAAAGTGCTGTCAAAGAAGAACACTGTTATGTAGCAGAAGGTTCCATTAATCTGAATGTATCTGAGCCTTGGAGTGAGTTGGAGTATGGGGGCCCAGAAGGAAATCTGGGTTTATTAATAATCATGCACAGTTTGGAGGAGGACACAAAACTCAATGAAAATGGTGCCTAGGGCTTCCCAAGTTTGGCAAATGGTGCTTTCCAAGCCCTTCCACATTCTCTTTTCCCCTCAGGGGATGTGCTTTTCCCTAGTGACCAGTCACATTGTAAACAGCTGCTCTGGGGACCTATTGAGTGGAATTGGAAAACTTCAACACAGATTCTAGAAAACTCTATTTTAATGTAAGGTAATCGTTTCTTTTCTCAATCATCAATAGAGATGGGATTGTGGCACTTGAAGAACTGTCAGACACTTATTTAGAGTCCCACATCCATTTCACATAATTCATTAATCCCCAACTTCTTTAGTAAGCAGACAACATTTAGTCACAGGTTTAGGGTTGTTAGGGGTCATAGAGGGCATTGATTCTAATCTTCTCCACATGATAAACTGAGGTTCGTAAAGAGGAAGTGATCTGCCCATGGTCATATAGGTAGCAGAAGCAGGATTTGAACCTATTTCCTCTGACTCTAAATCAAATGCTCTTTCAATTATGCATGCTGTCTTGATGGTGGAGTGAATAGAGTATTGGAGCTGGAGATGGGAAGATCTAAGTTTGAATCCTTCCTCTGTCCATGGCTTCTAGCTGGGTGACACTGGGTGACCATGGGTAGGGTACTTAACTTCTATCGGCCTTACTTCCCTCATACTTCTCATCCTCTAAGATCCTTTCCAGGTCTACCCATGATCTTATGGTCACTCAATCAACACTGCTGTAATCTGGCTGTGTGACCATAGCTAAGTTCCCTCAACTTTCAATTACTCAGGGAAATCTCAAAGATTCTAAGTCACAAAGGAGTTGCTGATGTGCATAAGCCCTGGGCATTTTGACTTGGGGATTTCCTCCCAGTCAATGAAATGTCAGGACCAAAACCAAACAGCCAGAACAGAAAAAGATGGAACGTAGGGAGCCCTTAAAGTCATTTGTTTTCGGTTATACGCTGCCTCCTTCCCTCCTCCCCCATCTCATTGTTGTGGTCAGCACAACAGTATGGAATGAGAATGGCTGATGCCATCTCAGTACTGAATCCCGCTTGTGTTGACAAACTCAATAGTCTGATTTTCTGTGTTTGTGCGTGTGCATGTTCTAAAGTCTTTGTGGCCACCACTTGGGGAGGGCTGGGTCAGAAGCACTGAGCTGGCTATGTCCATGGCTATCAGGAAATACTTCAAGGAGCCATCATTTTGTGGTGCAGGCATGCCTTTCCCCCAAGCTGATCACAGCCCCTTATGAATTTGGAGGGTTCAGAGCCAGGAAAACAAACAGAAATAAAGGCCACCAACCACAATCCCCTTTGCTACTGGGTGAGTGGAGAGGCTTGATTCTCTTCCCAAGGAACTCTCTGCCTTCTTACCCATCTGTGCTAAAGATAGAGAAAGGCAAGGAAGAAGGTTTACTTGGTTTTGCAGTAGGCCACCACACACATGATGCCAACCACCAGGAGGGCAATGCAGATGCCAGTGATGGTCAACACTCTTTTCTGGTAGAGTTCCTCAGCTTCTGGAAAGGGGCAGAAGAAGAACACATTACCAGCTATACTCTGCATTCTGACAAAGCAAACAAACCGAACATTTGGCATGCTACATGGTACCATCTCTACTCAGGAGAAGAGAACAGGGGGGGAAATAAAACAAAATACGGCAACCAGTCACAGAGAATAACTTTAGCAGATTGGTGCCGTTCAAAACCAAAATGCTCAATAATAGAATTCCATTTAGAACAAGCTACAACTACACTTAGGGATTATTTCAAACAAGCCAAATATAGACATTGTCAATATGACGTGTAATAAATGTTAGACTAAGAAAACACAATTGGAGATTTTTGGTTTTGTGGGTTACCCTTGCAAAGACAGCTGGAATAAGCGTTAGGGCAATGAATGGCCAGGGCCCACTGCCTGGACCCCCTTTGACATTTCTTTGTTTCCAATGACCTTCCTTGCATTCCAGCGGGCTTTACAAAAAGCATTTTAATCAATGAAAAGGTGAAAAGAAAACAAAAGACAAACTCAAAAACATTTGCAAACATAAGCTTGGCTTGTAGTTACCAAAGGCAAGGAGGCAACACCCTGTGTCTTCAAGGGTAAGACCGAATGTCAGGAAAACTAAAGCAGCCTCACTTGAAGCCCTGAGGCACTGGATCAGAGAAAATGCAATGAATGATTTAAAACCCCAAAAGGGGGGACTGGGACAAAATGCCAGCTTGTTTTTAAAGGGACTAGTCTTTGGCCTTCCCTCATCCCTGCCATGGAGATCATTAATCATTAGAAAGAAATCATTAACACGAGTCATGTTTGTCCAGGAGTTGACCACACATTCCACTGTTGGTCACACTTGGCAAAAGAACTCCTGAATGTTGAAATATCAAAAGGCAACTCTCACAGCTCAGATGTGGAGACCTTCCAGGGCCTGAAGGGCATCTGATCTCCAGTTCAGCAATGCTGCCCAATAGAAATGGAATGGCGGTAAGACTAGAGGGAATGAGCTGCGTGCTCAGACTCAAGTCCAACCCTTCACAAAGTGGAGTTCACTAAACAGTGGCCTAGATCTCAAAGTAACTGAGTATCCAACCACATTAATTACAGTGATTAGGATATATTCACAAGAACATTCAAAAATAGAACTCCATTGGTGTATGTAATTACTGAGTCAATGCCAGCAACTTGTCTCCCTAATTAAGCTGATGAACAACAAACCAGGGCATGTTACAAAAACAAAATTCTCCAGGCAGCCCTTGACAAACTCCTCCTTACCACCCCCCTCCATTTTTTTCTCTCTTTCTAATGCAAGAGATATTTGCACATTTCTCTGAGAACAAGTGAATTTTAATTTCTCTGATAAAATGCACTTTATCATTACTCAGGGCATCTTTCACAAGCTGAGCTCATGGTCATCAAATTCCAGTTAACAGTCTGGGAACATTGTCAAACCCAATTAATATTAAGTCTGATTATGAATGAGGGAAGAAGACAAGTCCATGGGTAAAAAGGATGAGAGGATGTCACAGATTAAACAACAACGACACCACAAATGAAAACCAGTCTGGGAGTCGGAAGGTGAAAGGCAAATCAAATACAGAGGCTGCCGGACAAGGGATAGACAGATAAAGGGGAGCAAAGGTAGGACAGGAGAGGGTTAAAGGTTAAGGTTCATAAGTCAGCTATAGGCTCTTGCACAACATGCTTCATACTGAGGGGGAAACAATGTGAAGAGATGTTTGAAAAAAGGTGGAAGGAAAGTTGGAAGGGATTGCCCATACAGCATAACTCCTAAACTAGCCTAACGGGACCTGTGAGTGGTAATGGAGAAACCAAGTGACCAGTGAGAAAATGTGCAGTGGGCCCGAGGGCCAGAAGGCATGGTTTGCCATTAGTTCTTTACTAAAGGAGCAAGAGAGATGCCGGCAGAGAATGCTTATGGCCCGTCTTCCTCTGGAGCCAGCCTGCCCTGTCCGATGGGACGGAAGCCCAGGAAGCTTTGGGGGCCTGGTTGGGGCATGCTGTTCTGTGTTTTCTCTCAGCTGTGATTACTTTTAGTCTTGATGTCTGCCTGAGTCAATACACCAGGAGGCATAGATGGGAAGCAATCCAGTTCAACCCTCTTTGTCCTCAATACAAGGCAAATACTCTTGCCCACCACTTTTCTCTTTTCTTTCCAGCTCTTTCAATGGGTTGCAGACTGCTTCCTTGACTGGGATCTCTTGATGGCCCTAAAAACAAGGAGACTTTTCCTGTGAATTTTGTTGCAAACTACCTACCAGGAATGATAAAACCATAAGTCTCTATTTGGGCAATGAGCTGGTGGATCCCTCCCTGATGACATTTCTCCCTCATTTCCATTCTGTTCTTTATACCAGTGGCCCAATGGAATCTGATGTGACTTTGTGTGAGAGAAGCATAAGGAAGATGATAATCCAGGAATAGGGAAGTGAATTGTACTCGGCCCTCATCAGACCACATCTTAATGGGAATTTTGGTGGGGACCAAAGTTCGAACAAGGCACTGAAAAATTGGTGCTTGTCTAATGGAAGAATCAGCAAACTATAGTCTCATGGGGCTGGTATCTGACCCACAAAAAACCAATGTTTGTACATTAAAAGACACCTTTCTTAGCTCTGGTTACACAAAGCAGGCCCTGGGGCAGGATTTGCCTATGGGCTGCAGTTTGCTGATCCCTGTTCTAGAGGAGGGTGAAACTAAGATGGTTTAGTGCCTTGAGATCATTCCATGTAAGGATTGGTTGAAGGAAGTGGACATGATTAGCTTGGAGAACAGAAGCCTCAGTGGGGACAAAGAAAGAGTCTTAAAATATTTCAAAAGCAGCCATGATGATGGAAGAGATATTAGATTTGTTCTGTTAGGTTCCCCCACCCCTCTACAAGGACATGATCAGAAGTTACAAAGAAGCAAATTTAGGCTTGGGGTATGTGGGAGGTGGGGAACAAAAAAATCAAGTTAAAAAAAAAACCTAACTTCCTAACTGGTAGAGCTGTCCCAAAGTGGCACTGGCCACCTCAAGAGGTAGTGGCTTCTCCCTCTTTGGCGGTCTGTAGGCAGAGGCTACATGAGCACTTACCAGGTATATCATATGGTAGATTGTTTTTATTTATGGGTTGGACTAGGCAATTGCCTCTTCCAACTCTCAAATTCCATGCTTCCCTGTGGATAAAGGCCATCCAGACACACTCAGATTAGCCAATGGAAGGGAGGTAGCTGTAAAAGGATGGAGGCATGAGCTTTCTGCAGTCAATCAACTTCAACAGACACACAATGGATCTTGTCTGAAGTCGATTATTTGTGCTGCTTTCAATTTATCCAACCTGCTGAATCACACAGCATTAATTGTGTTTTCTGGGATAGATTTGGCAGTGATTCAAAAACACTAAGGGAAGGATCCTTGGAGAGTGCTACAGCTGTATCTTCTGAAAAGATTTGTTCCTCCCTACAGATGCTGTTACAGGGTCAGCAGGGCAAGAGCGAATCAGAGGCAGAATTGAAAAAAAAATGCTACCCATCTGATAGGCCAGGAGCTGATGGGGACATCCAGGCATCACTGCAGCATCACTGCAGCCTTGGCTCTCTGGTTGAATCTGGTTGGCTCTGGTCTGGCCTGAATTGGCCATCCTTCCATAGAGATGACCTCACTCTTTTCTACTTTTAGATCCTATGCCTTTAAGGCTCGAGCTTTCTGGTGTTGATGGGAGTGGTAGTCTGTTAGAAGGTGGAGCCCTAGATAGAATGAAAACCATTCTCTCCTGGACCTCAGAAGAGCAGCCTCTCTCCATGGTCATTTGCTATAAATGCTTGTTGGATTCGCTTGTATTCAACTGCACTGGACTGCATTGCTCCACAGTCATCAACACCATACTAGGAAGAGGGCCCTCACCATTCTGAGGCTTTAGTCCCCAGTGGATGGGAAGCCTTGATAAAAGGCCTCTTTTCCTTTAGACACAGTACTAGGCATTGTATGCGTGCCCTAATGAGCATGGAGGATTTAGGTGATGGATTCTCTTTGGCTTAGTTTATTATTGTTGTTATTGAATAATAATAACAATGACAACAATAACAAGGCATTTCATGTTTACTTGTGAGAAGCTGTCTAGTCAAGCCTATGATGACATGGCTGGGGAAAAAGGTATGTGAGTGGGGCCACTCAGACATCAGTGCATCATCTCCATATAGTGCTGAAGTGACTGGAGGAAAAGAAAGTAAGTCTAACCTCCATCTGAGTTAGTTGTGCCACCAGCCTGCAACTAGGCTGGATGGATAATCTAGGTATCTGCCCCCCTCACACTATGGAGCAGGGCCTTGATGGTTGTGGGGATGACCAGAATTTGAACTGAGGCCTCTGAATTGTCCTCATCTCCTCTGTCACCCATTTCCCTGAAGGTTTGGGAACTCTGCGTCTAGCCACCAGTTGCACCACCATATCACAACCAAATTGGTATAAGAACAATTCAGGATTTTTTCTTCAAGGCTAGGAGTGGGAGAATCCTCTAGGATCTGTTGTCTGGGGAATCCTTGTGGATTGGCTTCCCTTTCAATGAAAATTTTGGTCAATTTCACATTTACACAGAGCCACAGAGCCCATTTTCTTTATATATTTTCTTTGTCCTCTCTCCAAAGATAAGGAAGGTAAACATAATGAAGCCCGAGGCATTATCTAATCCAAGCACATACTATTGTATTTCCCCACCAGGGTCTGTGCTTCCTGCCCCAGGAGTAGATGGCTTTCCTTTGGCTCCCAACCTGAAGTGGGCATAAGAGTGGGCTTCTGGAATGATTGCACTTGCAGAAGACTCCTTAGGGTCCTGGAGCTCAGGAGGTTTGATTTTCCTGAAGGCCTTATCAGCCTTTTCACAACAAATGGAATCTGCAGGCCAAACGCTATAGTAGAGAAAAGAATTGGCAATGAGTTATGGGGCTAGGAGACCTAAAATGGGGCCTGGGAAATGCAAGTGAGCTGCCCTCACTAACACTCTAGTGTTATGTCTAATCATAGCTAAGAGGCCAGAGAGACCATTGTTATGGCTGTATGATCCCTTCTGAAGCAAAAGGACACTGGTTAGGAATTGAGAGGAAAGGGGAAAAGAAGGGGGGGGGGAAGGCAGTCAAGTTCACAGGTGCTAAAATGTGCTCGAAGGCACTAAAAAAGGAATGATTGGTCCATACCCATAAATTCAATCCCAAGATGCTCTGCCAATGCAGAAAGTTGACAAAAAAAGAAAGAAAAGGGACACAGTTTCAGAAAAGAGCAATACATGATAGTCCAAAACAAAGTTACACGTCTGTTTGTTTGCACATGAAAACGGGACCAGTGGGGAAGGGTTTTTGGAGCAGTGTTCATGCAGGTGGCAAGACTGAGTCCATGAAAAGCACTTATCTCCTGGAAAAGGTTGGCACCCACCCACCAGAGGGTACAGAAGATGCCCCGCTTAACCCCTCAAAGACTTCACTGATGGAGAGGCTGGGAGAAAGGGCTGCCTTTCAAGCCTCTGGTGTAGACAATATGGGCTGGCAGAGCCCTTAGGGCTCAGTCAACATCCTCACTTTACAGAAAGAGAAACTGAGGCCCAGAGAGGTTAAGTCACTTAGCCACACCATACAGGCCAAGAACTAAGGACTCAATTCCTTGTCAAACACTTCCTCCTGAAGTGATATGAATGTGATACGAAGATATCATGTTTTGGCCAGGCTGCAAGCAGTCCTGAGAAGATGAACTTTTTTTTTATGAGGGGAGGGTCGTATTGAATTACATTAATCCATTCTGCAATGTCTCTCCACCCCATTCCTTTATTCCTTAGTCATCAGACTGCTGCTCAGGGTTCCAGACTGGAGTCAAGAACCTGGGTTCTATTTTTGATCTTCCCACAGTGTTTCTAGCTGGCATTGTCCAAATCTCAATGCCCTTAGTTGCTTCCTCTCTAAAATGGGCATGATCCTCTCCATCTGAAAGGATATTAGGAGATCATCTGCGTCAGCTTCCCTCCTTTTACAGAAAAGGAAACAGGCTCAGATAGGTGGCTTGGCTTTCCTGGAGTCATACAGGTAGTAAGACACATCATTGAGATTTAGACTCAGGTCCTCTGATGCCAATCAGAACTGTTCCCACTAAGCTGTGCTTCCTTTTATCTTATCTGTTTGCCTAAACATCTTATCTCCTCATTAGATTGTACACTCCTTGAAGGTTGGTACCATCATTGCTTGTTTTAAAATAAGTAACATATTGTCCAGTTCTACATCCATGGTAGATTCAGCCAATTGGACGATAATCTTTGGTCCCTCCCTGACTTCCTGCCACCACTCCTCCCCCACCCAATCTGCTGCTATGATAAGTAAATGTTTACAAAGTGTTAAACATCTCAGAAAAAATTTTCACTTAAAGAATCTCTTAGGACATTATTTCAGCATAGGGCAACATTGAGACCTAGAGTAGGGACAGTCAGGTGCGAAAAGAGCCCTTCTTTAGGAGAGTGGTCATAATGATGATTCCTTATAGACTCAGGGATGGCCTGAGCCCACTCAATCTCAAAGAAAGAGATGACAATAGGGGCCCTCAAATGGCAAGTATTCCCTTTCTCTCTGGAAGTCATAAAAATTCTATCCTCTCTAAGAGAAATCTTTGAGGTTCGGAAAGAGTAGGGAAGAGGCCCTGGAGAGCAAAGGGCATTGAAGTATGCATCTCTTTTTGTCCCTGATCACTGATTCTAGGTCTTGTCTAGCTGGATGACCCTGCAGAAGCCTCTGTTTTATCATCCATCACAGAAGAACGATAATCCTTGCTCTCTGTGCATAGGGCTGTTCAAGCACTGAGGCCTCATCTGAGTGCCCTCCACCTGAAATTGCTTTGTGTGTAGCTTTGTATGCATTTGTTTGTATTTTGGATATATTTGGTCTTTCCTCATTTGTGTGCATGTTGCTTTTATAAGCAATTAGCTCTTTGAGAGAAAGGACTATACATTTTTATCTATATCGTTCCAGTACTTCAGATAGTACTCAGTGCATCTGATAAACCAGTCTTGATGAATGAATGAATGAATGTATGAATGAATTAGCTACCATGAAAGGAGCTATTGGAGAAGGCCTCTCTTGAACCAGGGTGCACTGCGCTGTAGCCTCATTATCTCTGAACTTGGGATATGACATCGGCCACTGGGCCCAAAGAAAATCCAAATGAAGCCACTTAGAGTAGGACATCCTAAGTCCCAGACTCCAAACATTCCTCTGAACCTTTGTTCTAAATTCATCTAATAATCTGGATTTCCCCAAAGATTCCAAGGAACTTGCCAAATTTAATGATCATGGGGGCAGGGCAGGGCAAAAGCAATTATCTCCCCACGGAGCCCCCTTAAGCCTCAACATTCACTGGTTGACAGACTGAAAACCAGAGCGTTCTGAACTGAATTTCACTACTCTTCTCTCCAGGCCACATTTGATAATTTAGAATAGACCCACTTGTAGCCACCATTTGTTTGCTCATCATATATAAATTTGGAAACACGACAATGAACAAAATCCTGCTAAGGAAACTACAATGCTCACCTTCTCCCCAACCAATCAGGAAGACTTTAAGGGTTAAGCCAAGATAAAACTATATAAGAACACAACACTGCTTGGCAGCTGACGATAACACTTACAAGAGAGAGATTCCCAGAAAGCTGTTCCTGGGAGCCTCCATGAACACTGCTAATGGTATATATTAGTAGCGTAGAAAGCTTGGTTAAGTCTGTAGTAAAATTACTGGCATGCCCATGCATATGTGTAACTGCTTTTACACAATCTTAACAGAAAGTCCATCAGTCATTGCTCCCATTTCATTTCATGGGAAGCCATATTCATATCAGGCAGCTTCCACTGCAAACGAGTCAATAAGAAATTGCTACTTGGCTCTTGAGTGGACTCAGGCCCTCAGTCCTAACAAGGAAACATGCATTACCCTCCAGTACCCTGACTATTGCTTGGATTCCAGGAATATAGCCTATATGCCCACAAACCATTTGCACTCGATACACAGATTATTACCTTCTCTGTTTTACTTAATCTAATGTCTTATGCTCATTATTTCAGAGATGCTTCCTCTAGAACTTTCCCCCCAAATTAAATTAATGATTTAGAAGCATAAGAGTTGCTGTGTTTACAAAACAATTCAGCTTTCTTTCAATAACTGATTCCCTACTGTGCACTTACTTAACAAAACGAATTCAAATCGTGGGGACTTTGGTATCTGTTATGGACAATCTCCTCAGACTGCAATCATTTTCTAAAAATCAATTAACTGGTTAACAATTCCATTCGGTAGCATTTGATGGAACAGACTTCATTCTCCATTGTTTCTGAACAGGGACTGTCAAGCCCACTACATCAGCAAGGTGTGAGTACCATATTTCAAAGCAATAGAAGCAATAATAAGGGAAGTGGTAGGAACCAACTTTGCTCTGCTTATACATTTCAGAATAATTTGGGCTCCTTTATTCCTTATGTTACCTCACTTGTCCATCTTTGTCTTTCCTTCCGATAGAACATAAACTTGAGGGACTGCTGTTTTTGTCATTTTTTGCACCCTAGGGTTTAGTGCAGAACTACACTTCTGTTGTTGTCGTCTAATTGAATGCTGTTCTGTAGCAACTCATCCTTAACTGAAGTGAACCAGCATTTCCCCACCACCACTGACTGTCTTTAAATGCTCAGACAACCTCTGAATCCCCAGATGAGTCATCTCAACATCCTGCCCTAAATGATTGGATTCTATCTCTGTCAATTTTAACTGCAGTCAATTTAATTGTGCCTACGGCTTGATCACTTACCTTGTGGACTGGTAGCCACGAGTCTGAATTGCTTTCACATTAAACCAACTAGACTGCCACTGATTTTGTAAAGTGTGGAAAGAGGTGGGGTCTGTGACGCTTACAAGTAAATGCATCCCTCTTGTTCCCAGGCACATGAAGTATGGATATTTTCCATGATTCAGGCCAGTCTGCTGGCCTGGAATCCTCCTGATGGGAGGAAATAGGCACTTGGGACTATTCAGCAAGAAATGTGGGGAGAGCAAATTAGGATTTTCAGGGAACCTGCTAAGACTACATAAGTGTACACATTTTTCAAGGACTTGAAAAACATGGTGTCATGTATAACCCAATAGCAGATGTGTTTATTAGAAATATCCTTGGTAGATGGTATACCCAAGAGGCTATAATTTAGACTTTGTATTTCTTCACCCTGGTGATCCATTCCCTGGCTCAGACCCTGCTAATGTGGGCCAGCTATTAAAAATGGACACTCGTCTGCTGCTAGGGGCTCTTACAGCTATGAATCTCTCCTCTTACGAGAGACATGGATTCCAGTGCTGTCAGCCTTTCATTTTTGAATACTTGAAACTAAGCTATTCAAATAGGAAACCCATCAAGGGAAGCCACTAGGCTGCCTGAGTGGGGGAATGCCATGTTCTTAGAAAAACATGATGTCATCCAAGAGGCAGTGAGTGAGAAGGCTGAACTGCCTGCCACTCTAGCCTTTCCTTCTAAGTCTTAAGGGGCAAATGATTCCAGAAAGGTAGCCATCCAAGAAAGACCTTCTTTCCTAAATGTTTCAACTTTTCAAATATAGTTCAAGACTTCAATTATGGGGTACTATAGCCCAGGAGTGTATAATACAACAACAGAACATGTGACCTTCATGGTACCAGAACTCAACACTCTTTGGCAGCTGACAATGAAGCTTGCAAGAGAGAGATTCCAAATGGGATCTGTTTTGCAGATTGCCTGATTTCAAGCTTGGGGGTGAGGGTGGGGGGAGTGGAATTTGCTTCATTTCTAACCTAAACGTTACCTTACATTACTCTCTCTAGGACATATGGCCAATTTTTTTTTAATTGTCACATGGGCAAATTTCTTTTTTTTTTTTTGTCCCTGCATCGTCCAAGTGTTCCCCAAACAGAAAACCACTGCCGGTTTAATTCCCCTTGGGTCAGTGGTGGTGGTGGTAGTGGGGATGGTATGAGATGTGAATGAAGGCATGACATTAAAGGGGGCTGAGAGAAGATCCAGCTTTTGAAGAAGCTTTCTGAATGGGTCCCAAAGATTTAAGTCATAAATGTGCTTCTTGCTGGATCCTCCAAATGAACCCTAATTGCCCCCTTTCCCAAAGGCTGTCACTAAAACGAAATAGCCCTTGGGGCTACCCAAATACATAGTGTCTTTTAAACAATTTTTTTAAAAAATGATGGTGCATATAGGGAAAGAGGAAACCCTTTGCCTCAGTTCTAAATGAGTGGAGGAACCTTTCTTTCTAGCAATTTGGGGAACACATTCTGCTCTTTCATGGGCAATGCTTCCTGCATGAAGCAGGAGGAATGGTTCCAAGGTCCCAGTTTCCCATATTCTAGAGGTAAGCTTTTCATAGTTCAAAGAAAAGCCAATTAAAATTCAAAATGTGGTGGGGGTCCTTTCCTCTCCTAAGACAACTTGTAAATCTGTACAACAATGTGTTCTAATTCCTCAGTTATTTAAATTGGCCCCAGATGCCTGGTTTGCTTGGCACCATTGAAGAGTGGGGCAAACCAAGGGATCTACCCTTGAATTGCCCTGGGCTGCTCTTGACATTTCTCTCACTTTTAATCTCTCCCCCACCTTTCCCTCATTCTCTAAAGGCAGACTGGGTAATGATGAGAAACACCTGCACTCTGTTTGTCAGTTTATTTGACATAAATAATACATTCTGTTGCAGACCCAACTTACCAGAGTTTCAAATGCATTATGGGTTACAAGTTAGCAAGATCCCTTTCAGACTGGTGGCATCTTTATAAAGCAGTTAGACTATATAGTGGAATGACTTTATTGTATTTTCTCCATCAAAGTGAACTTTGCAGCTAGGTGTTCTGACTGCGTCCCTCCTAAGGACTGCTTGTGACTGGCTATCCTTAGTCACTATCACCTTGAGATCCCTCATGAGCCTCACATGCCTATTAGTGCCTCAGTTCCAACATGGCATAAACAAAGCAGTTCATACAATGATTTTGGTTAAGATTCTCATGCGACAGGCAGAGGCCATCCATGTTAGACCTGGTAGAAGAAATCTAGCTCTAGGTGTGATCTGGGGAGGGAGATGCAGCAGCAAGAAAGCAGTGCCCTCTGGGCGTGGCATGCTCCTACTCAGGCAGAGACAGAAAGGGAGTGGACGTACTGTAGAAGCTCGCCATTACGTAGTTTTGGCAACGATCACCAGTAAACTCATTTGGGCACCTGAGAGGAAAAACAAAAACAAAAACAACGGTAGAGAAAACAGAGAAAAGAGAAGAAGTGAACATGTGCTGAGAAAGAAGCTTCGTCAGTGTCAACTGCTGGACCTTGGTGAGTTCACCTCCAGGAGCAGTCTCAGCTTTGCCCCAATGTGGCTCGGGGGATGAGCGACACCTCCAAGGAGACCAGTTTGGACCAAATTGTATGAATAGCTATGGGTGGTGGAGACACACACACCACCATTCTGGGTGTTTGTGTCCTCCTAAAGCAGAGGTCACTTATGGAGCAAGTTGAGGAAGCACCAAGCCATCTAAGAATTCTGATTGACATCAGTGGTCAAAGATGTCGGGAAGACAATGGCTGGCCTGTCCCCATGGCTGCTGGTATTTTTGAACACCTTCCCCAATCAAGGTCTCTTGTCTCCAGTGACAGGAGGTGACAACAATGACATGGGCCACCGAGCCATGGGTGCAGAGCCCAGGCACCTGGTTGGTCAAACCACCAAGTGGTAGTGATTGTTGCTGTGGATTGGGGAAGAAAGCAAAGTTCAGATTATTTTTAACATACTTTCTGGGGTTTGGACTTTCATGGGCACATTCTCAGTACATCTTGCTCCAGTGAATCCAGGTTGGCACCTAGAGGGCAGAAATGTGATAAACAACAGAGGCTAAAGACACCCAATGATTAAACTGTCAATGCCCCTCCTATAGATTATGAAGCTGCTCCCAAAGGATGCTTATGGGTGGAGGTGGTAACGAAAAATGACATGGAGGGGGAAGACATGTAGAAAACCAAGTCACTTGAGGACTGCAAAGAGTTTATTGATTTCTTTCTTAATTTGAAAGGTCAATACATTGAAATTCGGTTAGAGGAAAGCTATAAAGCTGAGATGGAGAGGGTGGGTAGGCAGTATGGCCCCAGTTGATGGCACTTACCATTCAGCTTCGCTCCTGCTGATTGTATAGCATTGTGTCAGATAAGAAGCCACTGCCTTTTCCTACCCACCCTCCAAAAACTCCTCCAACTGCTTCACCTTTCACCTCACAGACCATGTGTTTTAGAATAAAGTGTGTGTGTGTGTGTGTGTGTGTGTGTGTGTGTGTGTGTGTGTGTGTGTGTGGTGGCTAAAGCTGATGGTAAAAATGGCAAGAATTCTATATCCTCATATGCTGGTGCTTATTGGTTCAACAAATGACTCCCTCTCACTCCAACTCTGTCCTCACCTCCTATTGGCTTTGTTGGCCAGAAGGAGAGACCTGAGGCTGGAGTGCACACACCAGTGGATGGACACACTACAGGTTCAATACTTTAAGGAGCTGTTTTTTTTTGTTTGCTACATGAAAATGTAATTAAATACTTATAATTAACATAAGTAAAATGTAACTAAGTTGGGAAATACTTAACAAAATAAAAATACAGTAGAACACAGATAATGTTAACATGTGGCTTTCTAAATCAACAGGCAGCCCACAGGGATCCTTTATGTAATTACTGAATTTGACACCATGCCTTAAGAGTCTACTTCTGTGAGTTTCTCTGTACCTTGCACTCAGCACCCAGGTGAGCCAGCCTTCTGGCAATGAGCCCCTATTGAGAGTTTGTGTTCTGATCATTTAGCCCCAAGAGGTTTTCACTCACTATTTATATTTTGTCTGGACCTGGGATTTCATTGATTGTGTGAGAATACTGGTATGGAATCTCCCTCGATGATGGTCAGCAACTTATCTGAAACTTGGACATATGGAGAGCTGTCCACGTCATTTGCCCAGTATCGCACAGAGAATATGAGTCAGAACTCAGTCCCCCAGGCCAGCCACGATACCATAGCATGCTGTTACTGTACACTCAATAGAATGACACCACATTCAAGTGGATTCTATTTCTGAACACAGGCCATTCTCTTGCTATAGTCTTTTTAAAAAAATAATACTTTATTTTTTTCCCCTAGATACATGTGATGTCTTTAAGAGCCTATTTATGGCATAAATAGCAAGACAGAAATCTTAGTGAGATGAGATTTACAGCCTTGACCTGGCATTTCCTCACACACACTGAGATATTGGCATTCCCAGGAGTTTTGCTTGAATGCTTTATTTAGGTGAGGCCTGAAGCCATAGCAATACAAACCTATGAAAGGGGTCCTGTCTTCTATAGAATTAGGACTAAGCCATACCAAGGACTACAGGCACAAGGCAGCAATGTAGATAGAGTGCTGAGCCAGTAGTCAGGAAGATTCATCTTCCTGAGTTCAAATCTTGTCTCAGATACTTACTAACTGTGTGATCTTAGGCAAGTCATTTAACTCTGTTTGCCTCTGTTTCCTCATGTGTAAAATGAGTTGAAGAAGGAAATGGCGAACCCCTCCACATCTTTGTCAAGAAAATCTCAAAGGGGGTCACGAAGGCATGATTGAGCTGAACGACAACAATGCCAAGTAGTATTTGGAGAAAGTATTGATGAATGAGTATGTTTACAGATGACAAAGTGACAGCATTGGGATACAAATCCTTCCCCAGCAGAATGCAAGAATTGTCTGCACATCTTGACACAAATGCTTACGTACCACAGAGGACTCTTGGTCTTCACAGAAAAAGCTGAAAAGTATACATAGACCTGGCTTTCCCCAAAAACAAATACCCACAAACATTTCAGATTAAGAATGGGTGAGTGAGATAATGGGTATGGAATCAGAGGATCTGAATTCAAATTTTAACTATGACATACTGCCTGCGTAACTTTGTAATTTAATGTCTTTGGCCTCGGTTTCCTCATCTGTCAAATGAAGGGATTGTATTATATGATTTGGAAGGTCCTTTCCAGCTCTAGAGGGATGATGCTATGAAGTAAGAATATGTATAAGAATTCATTCTTATATACTTCATATATACTGCACTTCCTTTCAAATACTGCACTAAGAATGTGGTTTGGTGAGGGAGGTAGAAAACGGAATGGAAGAGGCCCGCCATTAGAGGTGGAGCCAGATGACTTGGGCTGAAGTCCCAGCTCTGCCGTTAACTAGCTGGATGACCCTTGACCCCTTCTGCCTAAATCTGTTGCCTCATCTCTGAAATAAAGGAGGTGGGGGAGCTGCATGATCTCTAAGAGTTCCTCTAGTTTTACCAATCTTCATTCTGAAGCCCCTTAGAACAGGAACATTCTATGTCCTATGTTCTAAGATTCCTTTCAGTTTAAAAATGTTCCAAGGTTCTTAACTCAAAGATTCTTTGCTTGAAGGTCTCTCTTAGCTCCAAGGACATTCTATGGTCCATGATCCCTTCCAACTCCAACATTCTGTGCTCTTATATTGTATGTTCTGAAGTCTCTTCTACCTTCAACTATCTATGTTCTAACTTTGCATACTGTGGCATTCTTGGTCCTAAGGTCACCCCAGCTTTAACATTCTATATTCTAAGGATGGGCAATTAGGTGGCAGAGTGGATAGAATACCAAGCCTAAAGTCAGGAAGACATTTTTCTTGAGTTTGAGTCTGCCCTCAGACATTTATTAGTTGTGTGACCCTGGGGCAAGTCACCACCCTGTTTGCCTCAGTTTCCTCTGCTGCAAAATGAGTTGGAGAAGGAAATGGCAAGCCACTCTAGTATTTCTGCCAAGAAACTCCAAATGGGGTCACCAAGAGTTAGACACAACTGAAACAACTGAACGACAACTCGAAGTACCCTTCTAGTTCTGATAGTCGCTGTTCTAAGATCAATTCCAACTCACATATTCAACATCCCAACATTCTTCGTTCTATGACCCCTTCCAACTCCAACATTCTATGTGTTGAGCATTCATATCTCAAGGCCCTCTTAGCTCTAGAATTTTATGTTCTAAGGCCCCTTCCAAATCAGACAAACTAGAAAAACCTTGGAAATGCCTAAAAGGCTTGGTATATTTAAAGCCAAGAGTCCCTTAAAAGTGGTAGAGAGACTTCAATAATCTATCCAACCTATCGGCTCGAGTAGAATAAATGGAACTTGTATTACTAATGTTAAAAGACCTTGAATTTTCATAGGTCCTTTAGGTTTCCAAGAGCCCCATCCCTGTCTTTTTCATTCTCTTTGATTTTGGTACTGATCCAGTAGGAAGGTCCATCAAGAGATGTTTGGAAAATCATTGACTTATGGGAAGTTATATGATTTCTCTCATGTAAGAGGCACCCTAGGCAGCCTGCAAATGACTGCCAGACAAAGAACAAAATGGAGAAGAAATAGATCCACTACATGCTATTGATGTGAACTAATTATTTGCAAAGTAGGTATTTTTGTTTTTGCTTTCAAGATTAGTTTTAAAGGTCCTTGTGAACATGTTGCAGGAGGAATGAAGACTGAGGACAATGGGTAGCACAGTATAATGAGCCCCGAGTGCAAGTCAAGACATCAGGATTCTAAATCTGGCTCTGATAATTACTAATTGTTTGGCCTCAAGTAAGTCACTTCCCTTCACTAAAGCCTTAGTTTTCTCAGACATAAAATGGAGCTCGTGATATTTATAGTATTTATATCACAGGACTGTTGTGAGGAAAATGCTCCATAAATCTGAAAGTGTTGATGGGAATGTGTCCTATCCTCTTCATTCTTCAGTGACGATGTCACTTTGATTGGTTCCTATTGGCTCAAACTGTGTCCTCCATGTTGTTAACAGCTACAATCCACTTTGTTATGACTAAAAATGAAGTACAAGGGTGAAGTATCGTGTGTGTGTGTGTGTGAGACAGAGATAGAGACAGGCAGACAAAGGCAGAGACAGAGAGACACACAAAGGCAGAGACAAAAAGCTGCATAAAAGGGGCAGAAAAGTATATCATTCTGTTTCTAGTCAAGAACTGCCTTTATGGAAAAACCTCGCCATAGTACTTACTGGACAGAGAGGCAGAGGAGCGGCAATTATAAAAAAAAATACTTGGAAAATATTGGTTAACTACCCAGAGCTCTGGGAAGCCAAGGCAGACAGAGCAGGTGGGAAGAGGGGGTGAAAATCTGCCCAATGCTTTCTTATTGTTT